GGGTGAAAGACTCTCACAACCCAATCATTTCCCCTCTGAACCCTCTCTCATGGTCTCACCCATGAGCTTTTGGGGGACACCTCACATCCAAACCATAACACCAGTGATGTAGTGTGGAGTCTCTGTGGAGAAAGAATTGGCCCTGTTTCCTTTATGCAGGCTTTAAAATCCAGTAGCTTTTTGAGCATCAAGTTTTGTTTTCCAGATTAGGAGTGCTCAACCTATATCTGAATCCCTTTAGATTCTTCCTGAATTGGGGAGTACACATAGACAAAAAGTATATGTCTAAGAAAAAAATGTGAAGGGCAAGAGTTTAAGTGTCAGGAGGACCCTCAGTTTTTATCTTGCTTCTGTGAATCTGGGTGAATTATATACCCTCAGGGGATCTCAGGTTTCTGGTGGAAATAAATAGTAGTTCTCTCATCAGGTGATGGAAGGTTGTAAGGTTTTTCTGTTTTAATGAGACTACATGTTAGAGAAAAAATATTCAGTGATACTTGTTTTAAAGCACAGTGTGAAAGACTTTATCCAAGACCATCAAGGTAGATGTAGGGACCACTGCACTTGGGGGCGTCTTATACTGGGGGAGGGAGACTGGCTCCATTCTGAATTCAGCATGGGCAAATGGGAATTTATAGTCATTTATTGTTATATATATTATTATTATAGCGTGGGGGGTCTGTGGATGGAAAATCACTAAGAGGTTAGGGGTAAAGCAGGTTCTGGCTAAACCAACCCAACAGGATTCTTGCTGAAGGCTGCGGGTGGTGGAGGATGAGGCACCTAATCAGATGTCAAGGTAAATCAGATATCAAGGATGTGGATTCTGGCTAAACTGACTTAGCAGGGTTCTTTTGCTAAAACTAGATTTTACAAGAAAGTGCACAGATGAGCCTAGGAAGAGTTCAAAGGCCTGACTGAAGTTTGGTCAAGCAAAGAATCTTTGCCCATGTAAAAATGTCCCCTCAGAGTAGCTGGTGTATTAAACTTCAATAAATATTATACTAATGTTAATTATCCCCTTCATCTTTTTTGGGGGAAAGGAGGGGGTACTGTGGATTTAACCCAGGGCTTCTTGAATACTAGGCCAGCACTCTTACCACTAAGCTACATCCCCAGTCCCCTCCCTGCCCCATCATTTAAAAAAACAGCTTTCCATCAGATTCTGAGAAGAAACATTAAAATTAACAAGTAAGTTTATTTTTGGATTATTTATAGTTTTAAGCAATACTTTAAAATATCCTCATTTCTCACCTCTCATGTTGAATGTGAAAGTGGCTTGTAAGCTAGATTCTCCTTCCGTCTTAGATATTGAGGTATTACTGATCACATAGGAAGCAAGCTAATATTGAGAAAATACATAAGGCAAATTTGGAAACCATAGAGTTGGAAGTGATGAAGACTGGTTTTGATATAGCTACCAGATTCTTTTATGTTTTTAGTTTTATTTTTATTATTGCTTCCAGATATCTTCCAAGCCTGGCTGCCAGCTTCCTACTTGTGTCTTATGTGTTTTCACATCAGTGATTTGAAACATCTGTTTTCAAATCAGACTGTGTTCAAAATCCTAACTCCACCACTCATTCAGGTGTGTGATCTTGGTCAAGTTACTTCTCCCTTGTGAACTTTTGTTTCCCCATCTGTAAATGGTGGTAGTTTTCCCCACCTTACAGAAATGTTGCAGGTAAATGAATGTTTTTGGACTCTTTAGCTCAGATTTGGATATAAATAGGATGCACGTGTGTTGGTATGTATGGTTAGTAACACTCCTGAGGCACATTGTGCTGGTTGTTTTGTTTATTTGGGATCTACCATTCTGTTTTTTTTTTTTAATGTTCTTTATTTTCATTTTCTTTTTCCAGCTGATTATCTAAAAACAAACCTTCAAAAATATTGATGATTTGCTGCCACCTACAGGCTCCTGTGGGAAAAGCAGAACACATCATTTCTCATCTCTTTTTTCCTCCTGGTACTGGAAACTGAACGCAGGGATACTCTACCATTGTGCTACATCCCAGCCCTTTTCATTTTTGAGACAGGGTCTTCCTAAGTTTCCCAGGCTGGCCTCTAACTTGCAATCCTTCTACCTCAATCTCCCAAATAGTCAGGATTTCAAGTGTCTGCCACCACACCTGGCCATTACCAGCTTCTTAGATGCCAAATATGTTTCCATGTTATCCTGAACCAAATATGAATAATACCACCTCTTTGTTTTCCTTGGTAGCCTAATGGAATATTTAAATAATACATAGATAAATATGGGTATTCCTTATTTGAAATTCTTGGGGCCAGAGTATTTCAGATTTTGGAGTTTTTTAGGATTTTGGGTTGCATAGACTTCACCAATTGTGCATCCCTAATTTGAAAATCTAAAATCATGCATCCTTTAAAATTCAGTAGCTTTTTGAGCATCAAGTTTTGTTTTCCAGATTAGAAGTGCTCAACCTTTATCTGAATCCCTTTAGATTCTTCCTGAATGGGGCAGTACACATAAATCATTAGCAGCTAGATAATATATTTACACCTTGAAGTTGATTTGAAAAGTATGGTTTATTCAAAAGCATGGGAGAGTTTTTTCTGTTTTAAGACATGGCTTAGCACCTGAATTTTTTCTTATTTTGTTTTGGGCTCCTGTTGTAGTTGAGAACTTAGGAGCTCTGAGTAGAGCATTAAAATAATGTTTAGTGTTTGTTTTGGCTGCACATATACTAAAAAAAATAATAATAAAAGAAAAGTATTGTTTATAGGCAGTTCTGTTAGTTCTTTCTGTGCTGCCATATCTGATGGCTCCTTGTGTGTTTGCCTCCTATCCTCAATCTCATACTCCCTTTGTCACACAGTCTGACGTGGAGGGTGAATTTCCAAGTGCACACAGATCTCGGAAGTGGTTTCTGACAGTACAGGGCACAGTGCCTCTTCACAGTTTGGTTTGGCTGGCGTTGTAGTAAGAGGTGCCAATGCCAGGAAGCAGGAGATGGCATCTGGTAAAGGCCTGGGTGCTGACCCAAGGGGCTAAGCTAAAACAATAAGAAACTGCTGGAAGATTTCAAGTGGAGAGTAACATGATCTGACTTCTGTTATGGAAATGTTGCATAAGTAGTCCATTCAGGATATTTTAGAGGAAATGTACAGAAGCCATTATTCATTGAGCTCTTCTACTGGCTGATCATACATTTGAAGTACCGTGTGTGCATTTGAGAGCTTGTTCATATTCTATTTGTCAGTCCAATTTGTGGTTTTGGAATTGTTTTATTTTATTAACAATTCTGTAAACACCTTCAGGTAGGCACTGTTTTGGTACTTCACCTTGGTGATTCTTGTTACTAAGCAGTTATTATACAACAGAGACTATCAGGTCCCTCTGTAAGTGTATGCAATGTTCATACACATTGTCACCTTGGCTCCTTTACTCTTCTCATGTTTGCGGTGATGAAGGCAGCTTTTTCAACATTGTAGCTCTTTTTCCTCTCTGCCTGCCTGCCTGTTAAGTCCTTCATCTGCTGCCTGGCGTCTTGCTTTGGGCAGGTGCCACATGATGATAGGACTGAACAATCCCTTCTCAGACATGGGAGTGGAAGGTGGTAGGGGAAAACTGCAATGGCTGTGACACTCACTGGCAGAAAAAGGAGAATAGAAACAGAGGGAAGCTTCCTCTGGTCCTCCATGAAAAAAAAAAATTGCTGCTACAGAAAACCATGAAATCTCAAATCTGCAACATGGGAACGGGTGGGTGGACCATAGTGTCTGTGTAAGCAGGAGGCCCGTGAGTGCTTGCTTCAGGTGGAGATGTTTAAGTGGGTGCCCAAAACTCAGCAATCAGATATGTTAATACAGTGTTTTTAAAACATCAAACTTAATGCAAACAAAATATGTGATGAACAGAATATTAAAATTGTAAAGTCATGGTCAGTAACAGTGCTGTCCATGTAGAGCCATTTGGGAACCCGAAGCAAGAGGAGAAAAAAAAGCAGTACGGATCCTATTTAAAATTGGGTATTTTGTTTGTCATGGATTCTTGGAATTAATTTTGATTTTAAAACTGCATTACAATATTATTTGTATTGAGTTTTTTTGGTGCTCACTTCCATTTTGTACTTAAGGTTTAGGATCTTGCTGGCCTCATCTTCGCCTTTGGATGAGGATTGAGCAAGAAGACAGGGGAGAGCGGAGGGGCAGCTGCCTTCCTGGCCATGCTCCAGATACAGAGCTCGTCTAGTGGGCTCTGTTCCAGGGGAATGGGTGCAACTGATTTGGCTTTAAGTAATATGAAAAGTCTGTGTTTTTATGTATATGCGTGTATTTGTATGTATGCTTTTTAAAGAGTATCTGGATCCCTCGTACTGAGGATTGAACTCAAGAGTACTCTAACCCTGAGCTACATGGAAAGAAATGGAAGGAATAGAATTTCTTCAGGGCTTTAAGTTCATCCCATGGTTGATTCTTCACTGTTTTTCTTTTCTTTGGATGGTGCTGGGGATGGAACCCAGGACCTCACACATCCTAGGCAAGTGCTCTACCACTGAGCAACCTCCCCATCCCTGAGGTTTTTGAATGTTGGGTTTGATCACCGCAGGAAGCTAACGATGTGTACAGTCTTCTCCCAGGGGCTAAAATCTTTCATCTTGTTTATGCTGATTTGCTTATGTAGCATCTTATAGATGTATCCTGTGCGGATCCCATTCTCAGCCTCTCTTCTGCTCTGTCCAAACTGCATGGTGACTGAGAATGTGAGCAGAAGCTAGCAGAAGCCTGTATTTTTAAAATTCGTATTCTGGCAGAGTCTAAGTTGGTGGTTTTAGTGGTTAGCCCAGACTTTACTCTTATCTTTTGTTGGGAGAGCCAGGTCATTTGAAGGTACAGAGAGGTGATGTGTGGATCTAACCTAATTGACTTTATTCTGGTCGGTTTAGCGGAGCAACCCAAAGGAGAATTCTACTGACCTTTCATAATTGACAGACTTTTCTCTTTCTTTCTTTCTTTTTTTTTTTTTTATCCCCAAGGTTTGCTGAGGACACCCACAGTACCCGAGGAAGGAGAAGATGTTGCAGCCACGCTCAGTGCCACAGAGACCCTCTCAGAAGAGGAGCAAGAAGAGCTGAGAAGAGAACTTGCAAAGGTGAAGGAGAACCATTCCTTTTATAAGCTGGTGTTTTGTTGCACTTAATATGCAATTTCCTTGTTTCTCTAAAGCATGTGGGACTGGTTTACAGTTAGTTCCAGGGAAGAGAAAGCACCTTGTGTTTATTGCTTAAATTAGGTCTTGCTTCAGGAGAGGAGATAGAAGGGGATGATTCCAGTTTGTTTTTATATAATAAAACATATGGGTCAAGTAGGTCTGAGATGTAGCGTGTGGAGGAGGAAATGGGTGGGAACAATACAGCAAGTCTCCTAAGGGACGTTACTGAGCCTGATACTTGTGTTCTTCAGCCACACCAGTGACTGCCCTGTCCCTGCCTGTGTTGTGGGTATTGGCGCCTCTGAACCTTCTGCTCTCCAACTCCATTCCTCCCTCCCTCCTTTCCTTCCTTCAGCTTTCTGCCTGACTTCAAAATTCCAACTTCCTTCTTTCCTAACTTCCTTTCTTCTATAAAACTCACATAACATAAAATTAACTGTTTTTCTGGGCATTGTGGTACACCTGTAAAAATCACAGTGACTTGGGAGGCTGAGGCAGGAGGATTGCAAGTTTGAAGCAGACTGGTCAACTTAGCAAAACCCTGATTCAAAATAAAACAACAAGAAGGACTGTAGATGTGATTTAGTGGTAGAGCATCTCTGGGTACCCTTCAGTTGAACTGTTTTAAAAGTGTACGATTCAATAGCGTTTAGTGCATTTACATGGTTGTGCACTATTACATCTTTCAAGTTCCAAACATTTTCTCTTGCTCCAAAGGAATTGTCCATACTCATTAAGCAGTTACTGTTTGGTTTCCCTTCTCTCAGCCCCTGGAAATAGCTAATCTGCTTGTGCCTGTATGGATTTAACTGCTTTCTGGATATTTCATGTAAATGGAATCATGCAATATGTGACATCTGGTTTCTTCTGCTTAACATAATGTTTTCAAGGTTTATTCATTTCGTAGTATGTGTCAGTACTTCATTTTTATGGCTGAATAATATTCCATTGCATGTACCTTGCATATTTTGTTTCTTCATTCATTTATTGATGGGACATTTGGGTAGTTTCTATCTTTTAATTATTGTGAATAGTGAGCTTTTAGCATTTATGTACAGATATTTGTTATGCCTGGAAGTGGAATTGCTTTGTCATGGGGTGATTCCACCTTTAACATTTTTAGAGAACCACCAAACTTCCACAGCAGTGACACCATTTTGTATTATCACCAGCCATTTATTCACATCCTTGGTAACATGTTTCCTTCATTAATAGCCATTCTAGTGGGTATGAAGTGGTATTTCGTTGTGGTTTTGATTTGAATTTCTCTAATGACTAGTGATATTGAGCATCTATTCATGTGCTCATTGGCCATTTATCTCTCTTGGAGAAATGTCTATTTAAGTCTTTTGCCCATTTAAATAATTGGTTGCTTGTCTGTTGTGGAGATGTAAGAGAGAGAGAGAGAGAGAGAGAGAGAGAGAGAGAGAGAGAGAGAGAGAGAGAGAGAGAGTGAGAGTGTGTGTGTGTGTGTGTGTGTGTGTGTGTATTCTGGATGCTAGATCCTTATCAGATACACAGCAGTCAAATGTTTTCTTCTGTCTTGTAGGTTGTCTTTTTACTTTCTCCATAGTATCTCTTGATATGTAAACGTTAATTTTTGATGAATTCCAATTTTTTTCCTCTCTAGTTGCTTGTGGTTTTGGTGTTATATATAAACATTCATTTCCAAATCTCAGATCATAAAGATTTGCCCCTGTGTTTTCTTCTAATATTTTTATGGTGTTAGCTTTTACATTTAAAGCCCTTTGTTTATTTTGAGTTAATCTCTGTGGTTTGTGGTAGGGTTCCAAGTTCATTTTTTTGCATGTGGATGTTTAGTTTTCTCAGACTATTCTTTTCCAGTAAATGCTGTTGGCATCTTTGTCAAAAATCAGTTAACCATATATGAATTTATTTCAGAGCTGTCAATTCTGTTACATTCCTCTAGATGTTTCTTCTTAGAATAATTTTATGCTGTTTTGATTACTATAGCTTTGTAGTAAGTTTTGAAATCTCAAAGTATGAATCCTTGACCTTTTCTTCTTTTAAAAAATGTAATTCAGGGTCCCTTGGAATTAAAAATGGACTTCAGAATCTGCTCCTCTTCTTCTTCATCATCTTTTTTTTTTCCCCCTTTGGTACCAGGGATTGAACCCAGAGGTGCTTAATCACTGAGCCATATCCCCAGCCTTTTTTATTTTATTTTTTTGAGACAGAGTCTCACCAAGTTGCTTAATGGCCTTGCTAAATTGTTGAGGGTGGCTTTGAACCCAGGATCCTCCTTCATCAGACTCGAGAGTCACTGGAATTACAGGTACTCACCACTGCTCCCAGTAGAAGCTGCTTTTCCACCACAAAAAATACCACTGGAATTTTGATAGGGCTGGCATTGAATCTGTAGATTGAGTTGGTGAATATTGCTATATTTTTTGTAGGGGGGTGGATTGCTTAATAAGTTGCTTAGTGTCTTGCTGTTGCTGAGGCTGGCTTTGAATTTGTGATCCTCCTGTTTCAGCCTTCCTAGCCACTGGGATTGTAGGCATGCACCACCACACCTGGTGAATATTGCTACCTTAACAATATTAAGTCTTTAGTCCATCAACATAGAATGTCTTACCATTTAACAGTGTTTTTTATTTTTCTGTGTACAACGTACACTTCCTTAGTTATGTTTATTCCTTTAAAATTTTTATGTATTTGATCCTTTTACTGTTAACATTTTATTGTTTTATTCTTTTGTGTGCAGTCATAAATATAATTTTTTGGGAGACGGTTCTGGGGATCAACCCCTAGAACTTCATGTATGTGAGGCAAGCATTCTACTGCTGAGCTCTATCCTCAATCCTAGAATTATTTTTTAAGTTTCCTTTTTAGGTTGTTCATTGCTATTGTATAGAAATACAATCAAATTTTAATGTTGATCTGATATCCTGACACTTTGCTGAATTTGTTTGTGAGCATTAATAGTTTTTTTTTTTTGGTGGGTTCTTTAGGATTTTCTATATATAAAATCATGTCATCTGTGAATAAAGGTAGTTTTTCTCTTTTTAGTTTGCACATCTTTTATTTATTTTTCTTGCATAATTGCTCTGTCTAAAATATCTAGTAGAGTGTTGAAGAGCAGTGGAGTATTCCTATCCTATTCTTAATCTTGGGATAATCTAGTATTTATTATACTAGCCATCAGTTTTTCATAAGTATACTTTTCCATGCTGAGGAAAAGTAGGGGTTGATCCCCAGAACTGTCTCCCAAAAAATTATTTCTCCCAAAAAAAGATATTCTATTTCTTTTGGCATTGGTTTTGATTATTTCTCTATTTTGAAGAATTTGTCCATTTAATCTAGGTTATCTACTTTGCCTGCATATAATTGTTCATAGTATTCTTTTATAATATTTGTTTCTGCAAGGTTAATAATGGCCCCACTTTCATTCTGACTTAGATTTTTTTGTATCTTCTCTTTCTTCTGTCTAGCTATTTTTTTCAATCATGCTGATCTTTTTAAAGAATCAGCTTCAACTTTATTCATCATTGTTTCCTAGTTTACATTTTGTTTAGTCTTTATTATTCTCTTCCTCTTGTTAGCTTTGCATTTAGTTAACTGGTTTTTTCTCTTTCTTTAAGATGTGGATTTATGGTATTGATTTGACATCTTTATTCTTTTTTTATATAGGTATTGATAGGTGTATATCTCCCACGGACACTGTTTTCATTACAACCCATCAGATTTAGTATCTTGTGGTTTTGTTTTCATTCATCTCAAAATATTTTGGGGCTGGGGATGTGGCTCAAGCGGTAGTGCGCTTGCCTGGCATGCACAGGGTGCTGGGTTCAATCCTCAGCATCACATACAAATAAAATAAAGATGTTGTGTCCACTGAAAACTAAAAAATAAATATTTAAAAAATTCTCTCTCTCTCTCAATTTTTTTTTTTTTTGTAATTCCCTTTGTATTTCTTCTTCAACTTACTGGTGGTTGAACAGTGTGTTACTTTTCATAACTATGAATTTTCCAATTTTCCTTTGGCTTTTGATTTCTAATTTCATTTCATTGTGGTTTAGTAGAAGGTGCTTGTACAGCTTAAATGTTATCAAGACTTACGCTGTTGCCTGGAGAATGTTCCTTTTTGTAACTGAGAAAAATGTGGGTTCTATGGTTTTGTGGGGGAGAGTTCTATGTATGTCCATTAGATCTAGTTGGTTATATTATCTTTCAAAGCCCTGTTTCCTTCTTTGTCTGGCTGTTTGCACTATCCATTTCTTTCCAAAAGGTTTTATGAATAAGGCTGGGATAGAATGGGTAAGGGAGATTGACATAGGCCTTATGAGGAGGGTGAGGATTATTACGAGTATTTAAGGTGTGACTAATGTTACTTTTAAAAAGACAAAACCCAGTTTTTCTACAAGTTATGTTTACTATAGAAACATTAAAAATTGAAGAAGATTGTAATGAACGACAGTGTCAAAGTTTTTAGATTAAGTTTCTTGACTTTCTTTGTATATATTGCTGTAACCTGTTTTAGAAATCTCTTCTAAGAAAACATTAGAATATACATCTGTAGCTTTTCCCCACTTATTTAAATTTCAAAACATTTTTCATACCAATAAATAATCTTTCACAGTCTTATTTTTGATTTCTGTAAGCTCATTTTTAGTTGATGGACATATTGTCATTTATAAACATTCTGGGTTTTTTTTGCTATTATGAATAATTGATAAAAATACTTTCACATAAATCTTTATGCACTTCTTTAATTATTTCTTTAAGAGAAAGTCCTTGAAGTAGAATTATTTATATTCCCACGTACACCAACTTAGCCAAGATGCTCTTCCTCATGTTTTTCTTGGTGTATGAAAGATCATTTTTTCCAAATCCTTTCCAGCTCTCAATATTATATCAAAATAAAAATAATTAATGGCACCTAATGTCTATTAATAAAAATAATATACTGAGCTCTC